AAAGGAGCTGGAAGCCATGCTCAAATCCCATTCATATAAGAGATCAGGGTAGAGAATCATGACATTCCCTTTGGGCCTTAACCCATGAAAATCCACATCACAACTATTTCCTGCTGCTGCTGTCCTCGTCACCTGAGATTGCTGCTGATGGGATCAATACCAAACTGTTCCTCCCCATAGGAAGAATCAGCAGGTTGCTCACTGAATGATGCTAGGCAAATCAGATCATTAACTACCGGTCCCCCAAAGCTCACACAAATGCTGAGATATAGTTACATCTGACAGCATAATACTTCTGCCTGGACAGATGCATGTCCAAACCACCCAGCTTGCTATCATGGTGGCACTTGTGCTGCAGGGCCTGGGAGCTTCTGTAAAAGAGTAAAGGAGACAGATGGATGCTCCACTACATGGAGTACAGCTATCTTACTATTCAAGCCTGGTTTGGAGACAGCAATCATAGAGGCCCCCAATTCTGCAGCTCAGCAAGGTAAAGCTGAAAGGGGCTTTTACATCTCCCTTCTGCCTTGAAGAGAGGATTTTTTTTTCTGGAAAAGCTAATAGCACCTGGAGGTGATGGCTCATGACAGTAACAGGGGCACTGGGCTCTTTATACTGTGGCTCACTGGATCTAGTAGGGTCTCCCACTCAGTAGTGACTAGGGATCTTTGTCACCTTGTGGCTGTGTGGTAGCCTCAGGCTGGCTAATGGGCTATTTCCCCACCTTGCAGTAAGTCCTAACGGGGGTGCTTGTTGGCTCCCTATGGTATAAGAGCGCAGAATAATGGATCCACAAAGAGATCCTTTCTAGGTAGTTACCAAGCCTTAGCCTCTCCCGTGCTGCAGATATCAGCTGCTAAGAGGCATCCGCTTGAAATAAACACCATTTCCCCAGAAGTGTTTGGCAGTAGCCAGAGGAAACGTGGTTGTAGTTGGCCTTTAATTAAGACAGCTGCACTGCTTTGACCCTTATGAAGAGGCAGGAAAGAGAAGCAGAGATTGGTGGGGTGCTAGCATGTCTTCCTATGCAAAAAGAGCAGGAGGAGCCAGAAGACCTCTGTATTCAAAGCCTCCAGGTGCCTCCTGGACAGCAATCCCGTGCTTGTAGGATAGTGTATTCTCTGACTGCTCTCTGTGGGCCAGAGGGAGCCTTGCTTCCACAGCTGCCCCGTGTCCTGCTAATGTGGATAATCATCTTCAATCAGTACCCAAGACATGCTGACCACCTTGCAAACCCACTGACACAGAGAGGTCCTGTTCCTATTATGTGGTCGGCTGTGGTGAGAAAGTCCTGAAGGAATGACGGCTTGTGTCAGGTAGGCTTGGGACTCAACAACTGAGTTTTGCATGTTGTGGTGGGACTTGTCAGGGTTGAGATACCTGAGCAAGGCAGAATGAGAGGACGTTGTTTTGTGGCTACCAGTGCTGCGATCACCGAATGTATTTTAGTCTTGCCTTGGCTTGCTGGTAGCAATGCTGGAATCTTCACCTCTCGGAAGGGGTTGGCACGTACTCTCTGTGGCAGGTTTTCTAATGGTAGCAGCCTCCACTTAGGCAGTGACCAGATTTTCAGATCCCTGCTTGCACGGGGTCCTAAACTCTCGAGCAAGTTTGTGTTGCAGAGTCTTGTGAATCTATAAGTCTTGGGGTAGTTGTTTGTTTGTTTTTCTTTTAGCCCCAACTTCTGGACTCCTGCGATTGTGTAATAATTTCAGGTGTCATTAAAAAAAGGGAATGTTTCTAGCCCTCAGCTGCAGAGAAATGCTTGAAAACATAGTCTGAGTGCATCTGAAACCCTCAAACTGAAAGGACCCAACATAGTTTAGTTTTAAAAATCTCATGGCTGTGGCTGGTTGCCCTAGTGTCTGTTGTTCAGGCGACTTCCTTAAAAACTAGGGTCTCCCTTGCAAATGCTGCGCACTCAATCTGCCCCAAAGTGCCTGTGCAGAATTAATTGAGGCTGCCGGAAATGCAGTCTGCTTCCTATGTGTTAGCAAGATAAGTAACATGGCCAGTGCCTCATGGATGTGGCCAGAGCACATGGCTGAACTTGAATTAAAGTGGGGAGGAGGACAGATACGGTACTGATCTGGAACTTGGGACACTTTGGGGTTTTTTTTTTCCTGTCTCTTCTGCCAGCCTGGTGAATAACTGGAGGCACTTCCCTTCTCCTCGCTGTGCTCTGATTTTTTTTTGCTTTCCTGATAGTGAGATTGACCTCTGCAATATGCTTGAAGATCTGTGGATGAGCAGAGCCACACGGGAACTAGCTACATCTGACGTAAACCCAAATGGCATCTCCTCTGAGTCAGAGTTACTATATAGCAAGCCCAGCGGGGTAGCATGGGGGAAGCAGAATAACTAAATCTAGAGGATTGCTCTTTGAAAGACAGGAAGCTAAGATCCTGCTCTCTTCTTGGAGCATCTTGTGGGATTTGAAGCAGATTTGCAGGCTGGGTGCATGAAATGCCAGCTCTGAGGCAGGATCTCTCCCTTCTCCCAGGAGAGGCTAAATTATTCATTTTAAACATGACAAATGTGCTCCAAGACTGTGATGAAGAGAAGAGTCAATATTCTGGTCACTGAGTGAACTAGTCTGCTCGGGGCTCCTCTTGTGAGCCAGGCTAAGCAGCAATTTGCAGCAAAAATTACTGTTTCTCTTGGAGGAAGCTAGTGAAAATGTGTTGGGGCCTGATGATGCTTGAGTGGATCAAGCTGTTAGCAAGACACCGTATGCTAACGGCCAACACCGGTCACCATCTGACTGACCTGAGAGACTGTCCAAAAAGCAACCAAAACTTGGTGGGGAAGGCTATGTCAGGGCAGAGGTTTCTCACCCTTTTCTTGGTCTGTGGTGTACAGTGGCTTAACCTAATGTATCCCTCGGCTTTGCCCATGAGCAGTGGGTTGAAGGACTTGAGACCCAATGTGATTTGCTCTGCTGGTTTGCATGTGAAGTGAGATGGTCACGAGCCACGGATGTGTGGTGGAGCCACACCAAGCTGGCATTAGTGGCCGATTCCCCTCTCATGTGCTCACCGGACTGTCGGGGATGATAGCCTGACTTCCCTGAAAATGCTGGCTGATTCATAGCCATATCTGCACACCCTTTGGATGGGAGAAAAGCAGTTCAGTAAAGAAAGAGAATGAACTGAATACGGGAGGTCTAATAATGAGGATGATTTTGCAAGTGGTGGGGAAGGGTAAAGGTAAAGGACCATGCTCTGTGTTGACTTGCACTGTAGAAGTTGGTTGGCTGACTTTGTGCAGGGCAGGGTGGAGCGAGGCCATGGGAGCTTAATTCATGACAATGACCCAGTTGCTCAAACTCTAGTTTTGGGGAAGGGATGGATTTTGCCAGTAAGATGGGTACTTTTCTTTTTTTTTTTTTTAACCATCCTTTTATAGAGCAGAGCTGCTTGTGCAAACTGCTTTCCTGGCAACTTGTTACTGGGCATGTGAAACCTGCCTGGAAGTCCTAACAAACCTGTTGAGAAGGAAGTTACGTAGGACTCCATAAATGCGTTAAACACAGATTTACATAACTCAAAGGAGATCTAGTTTATGACGCATGGAAATGAGAATTAGATGGGTATGTGGAAGTATTAAAGTAGCACTGGGTGTGCTTATACCGGGGATATCTGCCTCTCTCGGCTGCAATGTGAAGTACGGTGCCAGGCACTCCACGGACAGCTCCAACAGGAGCTGGTGGCATAGGGTTCGACATGACCCAACGGGGAAGGGAAACCTCAGCATGAGGCATTGCCAGACAAGGCTGCCTACTTAAGATCCTGGATTCCTGACCTCTGTGTCAGTGGGTTTGCAAGGTGGTCAGTATGTCTCGGGCACTGATTGAAGATGATTCCTGAGGCTGGCACTTCCCTTTTGCAGGCAGATCCCAAGGAAGCGAGGGTTTCCAGGGGCAGAGGAAGGAAGGGAGTATACTGGGAGCACCGGGGTTGGGATCTGGGCTGACACTGCTTCTCCTGTTGCCCACAGCATTTTGCATGTTTGACTTTTCAAGGCCCTTCAGTTGCCATAGCAAATCCTTGCAAGCTCAGCCGAGCCTTCCCGCAGGCACGTTGTATTCCCTGCCACGCTGCCTCGCGCCGCCTCCCCTTGGAGAACAGGAGCAGGCAGGACTGCTATTTTTTTGTTTGTTTGTTTGCTTGTTCCCACTTGACAGCTGGATCCTGCCAGCTGCTAGTGAAGCCTCTTGCCCTGAGGGAGCTCGCAGCCAGTCTGCAGCGGCAGGGAAGGGCAGGGGGCCGGGGAGCAGGAGCCGGCGGGGGCACCTCGGAGAGCTGGCATTTGCAACCAGGGTCAGGGCTGGGGCCTCCTGCCGTGAGGAGCAAATTGGGTTTTATTTGGAAATAACCTTTCAAAGCAAGAGCTGGATTATTTTGGAGCGCCTGGCTGCAGGCCCAGCTGCCCACCGTAACGTGACGCACGCTTGCATGCCGTAGCCACGAACCGTGAACCCGAACACAAGGCAGGTCTCAGGCCTGGCGCCGGCATCTGGGCGCTCCAGAAACCGATCTCTTGTTTAGAAGCACAGCAAGGTGACTTGAGCAGGGCAGGCTACCTAAGAGCTACCGTGCGGGGAGGCTCGAGGGGCAGGTGGCTGTAGAGCCCATGTAAATAGCAGTATTGTTTCCCACTTCGTTGCTGGCTGCAGGCAGCTCACCCAATGCGGAAGGCTTTGCAGCTCATGTTAGCAACCCCTGGCAGGTGGGGCAGGGGTTCAGGGAAGCATTGCTGCTTAACTCTCCCCATCCTGAGCCCTCAAGATTCAGAGCAGTGTCCTTTGGTGGCTTTGATCCAACGCTTGCTGGAATACAGGGACGCAGGAGGGCTGGGTTGTGGCCCTGTCCTGCCTCTGAGCACTGCCCGAGTTCATGATGACCCCCCTTTCTGCAAAGGGTCTCATACAGTGAGGCCTGATAAAGGGGCAGATTCTGGTCCCCAGGGCTGGGCAAAATGGCAGGCAGCTGTTCTGAAGCAGCAGGATCCGTGTCCCATCTCTGCTGCTACGGTGAAGTCCCCAACACGCAGCACAGGGATCACCACGAACTCCAAGGTAGCTACAGGTTCATTGCAGCACTCGGCCGGAAACGAACTGGCGCTTCCCTCCTAATTCCCAGATGTGACGCCTGATTCTCAACCTGGCACGTCCTACGCACCTTGCTTCAGTGAAGGATCTCAAAGCATTTCATTGAAGAGCCGTGCTTTGGAGCCTTTCCTAACTCCTGGGGGCAAAAGAGTTTGCTCCTCGACCACTGACGTAGAGCTGCCTCTACAAAGCCACGCAACAACTGAAGGCGAAGTAAGGGGGGTCTCGCTACAGCGGGGAGGGGGCACTACACGCAGAAGACAGCAGCCAGAGAGAAAGCAGAAGCAGACCGTTATAAAAACAGGTTTCCTGCCCGTGGCAGCTGGTGAAAGGAAAGAGGTCGCTCGCTCGGCACAGCGGTGGCTTCACTTGGGGTAGTCTGTCTATTAAAGAGAATTTACACACAGCAGCAAACACTTCTCCCTCCTGCTTGCTGAGCAACATGGGGCCAGGCCCCACCTGCCCCTTGCCTATTCTCTGCTTCTCCGTGGATAATTCCCTGCATGCTTACAGCTTCGTAAACTCATATTTGTATGGACAGTCGCTCGGCAGAACTAACGGTGAACGAATTCCAATTTCCTTTGTGAATAGGAGCGCCCGGCCTGGCAAATTGCTGTTAAAACCTCCCTCTCCTAACAGGAAGAGACGCGTACAGGAGACGGGAGTGTTGGTAAAAGGGAAAATAAAAGCTCATTAGGCTCCCGAGCCTCCCCCACAATGAACCGTTTGAGAGAGGCCGGGTAATCTGACCTCCCTTTCCACCTCCTGTTGAGCCTTTGCATCTACTACGCTCCGGGGAGAGAGGAGCTGCTCACGTTGAACCTGTTGAGAGCGCTTGGCAGGGGACTAAAGCCCGCCTGCTTGTTTTCCGCAGGGAGGGGAATGATAAAGCGGGCTGGGTGAGAGCAGTTTCTAAATGTGAGTCTGGGTGTCGGGGATGAGAAGCGAGATCTGTGTGAAAAATTCACTAGGCAACTGTCTGCAGGGGTATTTTTAGTGCCGTGATGCACGCAAAGGGTGTGCATGCCGGGGATTTGCACCTTCGGGTTTCAAATGGTGCTGCCAGCTTTGATTCCAAATGGCCAGAGGCCGGGCGCTGCCTCTAGCTGTTCCCCTTTTTATTTCCTATTGTACTTCCAGTTGTACTATGGCCTCTTTTGGTCGCGATAAGGCAGCCAGCATGTGGGGGGCATTGTGTAATTTGGGGGTGGAAAGGGCTGGGTGAAACTTGCCCTATCCAGATGCCTAGATAGATAGCACCCTGTGGGGAAACACAGCTAGGGTGGGGCACCGGGTAGACAAGAGTCTGTACTTGTTCCTTGGGCCGAGGGAGGCTGGAAACCTTGCTGTGCCGTGCTGGGGGGAGCTCTATCTTGTGTATGTAAGCTAAATCAACTATTATGGGCATGTCTCTCCCTCCCTGCTTGTTGCTATTTCTGTTGCATCAGCTACAGGCCTACTCCCGACTCAGAAACTTCCACCCAACTCTCTGGATGCACTTGTCTTGCTGGTACAATTTCCTCTTATTGAGGGTGGGGCTAAGGGGGTTTCCTCCTGGCGCAGAACCAGGGTATGGTCTGGAGGTGCTGTGAACATGGCAGAGGAAACAGCCGCTCTCCAAGGCTGGATGGATGCATGTATAGTGTCTTTTTTCCCTGCTGACTATTGGAAATGAAACCCCCCTGGCATTATTCACCTCTCACGCCTGACTTCCACCAGCATAACTCAGTCAGTTTAAAGGAGTCGAATCTCTGCTGGTGTGATCTCATGCAAACGCCTGATGGCAGGAGGGACTCTGGCATGATGGTATTCAACCAGCATCAGTGTTATAGAAGAGAACTAGGCTATCCAGCTGCATCCTTAGGGTGCATCAGATGTATGGGTGTGTCCAGGTGGCACAGATGAATGTAGAGGAACACGTTCCCTGCCATCTCTGGGTTCAGTAGCATCCTTTCCATGCTATTCTCTAGTTTTCTCCTGGGAGATCCTTATTAAACCGAACATGTAATAACAAAACATCTGTTAATATTCTGGGCTTCAGGACTACAGATTAATCTGTTGGAGCAGGCTGTAATTCTGCTCCAGGCTCATCACATCCACAAACTGTTCATTGATTAGTCCTGCCCAGAGCAGCAGTTGTGCAGCGGGGCTGGGGAGATGGATCCAGCTGGCACAACACCGAGGGGTGTTTGCAGTCACCACTGTACCTGCCTGTGTCAGAAAAGACCTTACTGAGCACCTGTGGTGACAGCTCCAGGTCTGAGGTCAGTCTGCATTGACCTGGGCAGTTCTTTGCTATGATTTCAAGGCAGTGGGGTGTCTTTTAAATAACTGCAAAAGAAGAAAAATAACTGCCCAAGAAAGAACCAGGAGAAGACTATTTGGAGAGGAGGGGCGAAGTGTCCCTAACTCCTGTACATCACTTCACTGTTGGAGAGGCACCAATAGAGCATGTGCCTTTCCATGATAAGGTCATGTCTGAACTCTGACCACGACTGCCCTGGTCTAGCCTGGAGTAACACTTTGTCATGTAATAAGAGTGCTCATGGAGAAGCTTTGCTCACGTGAACAGTTGCATGAAAGCCAGTGGATCTGTTCTACCGGAGGCAGGGTGTCACCGTCTTGGCCCTTGGGATCCTAAGACGGGACCGGGCAGCAACGTGGGATTTGCAGAGGGCACGTGCAGTGCCTGGGCCTGCCACAGTGTTGGCTTCAGACTGCACCTCTATAGTAGGCGCTGGAACAGGACCCAGCCCTGAACTGCTTGAGTAACTTGTCCTCTTCACTGGAATTATCCTCGCAGCCACCCCAGTGAGATGGGGGAGAGCTGTTACCCCCATCTTCACCAGGAAGAACTAATGCACCAAAAGGCTGAAGTCAATATTTTTTAAAAGGCACCTAAAGATGCAGCTAGACCCTCTTTTTACAAGTGTTTAACTGCCTAGCTGGGGGAAGAATGGGGTTAAAGGTACCTAAATCACATCATTAGGAACTTATTTACTTTTGAAACTCTGGATTAAATGACTTGTGCAAGACCACACAGGGGGGCCTGCAATAGGCCAGTCTTGAATCTATGTCTTGAGGCTTAGCCTCATGCCCCGATCATTGCACCATCTCTCCTCTCAAGACGGGTACCTCAAAGCTAATTTAGCAAGGAGGGTTGCAGGTCAGATATGAGCAGCTGTGTATCAGTGCAGAGTACTTTACACGGTCACCGTCACAGCCTTCTTGTGAGCCTGGCACTCCTCCATTGTTCAAACCACTGTGGCAACCCCACAGTAAGCGCAGGGACTACTGCAGTGGTGTTTTTGGGCAGGAGTGTTTGCATAACTGGTATAAAGAAAGCCTGTGTGTCATCTCATTGGAGGAGTTTTAATGTGGTGGTTGAACCTGCCTCTCTGGCTTTCCCAGGAAGAACGGAGAACTAGACTGTCCTACGTGCTCATCCCTGAAACTAATCAGCTAGCAGGCCTCGGCTTCTGCACATTCCTCTCTTCCTCCCTTGAAGTCAGCTCCTTCACCTTAGTTCCTGCTAATGCTCCCCTCCCTAGGGAGCCTTTCCTCCACAGCTCTACACACCGTGCTAGCAAAGCACAGGGAGCCCCCAAGGGCGACGCACAGTGTAAAACCTTCTAGCAGACACATCATCAGTAAGCTGGCCTCTGGGGAGGATGCTGAGGCCCTCCCATTCAGTCGTCATCTCTACGTCTTCCTTGCGTGCAATAGTGGAGGAATAGGTGCGCCTCTCTAGAGGTGCAGATACCCTGTTGCTCTGTCCTGGCATTCATCAGGGTGGATCCTGCCTGACTGCTCAGTTCTTGTGTACGTACCGTCTCGGGACTGGCCATGGATTCCCATTTCTTTTTTTTTTTTTTTTTTAGGCTCTCTACAAGCATTCAGGAGGGTGTGGTGACGTCTCATTGCCATTCCTCATAGCGGACCCAGTGCTAGGCCAGCCTCCCCTCCCCTGTCACATCGGGGGCCACGGAGCAGTTTCAGCCACCATGGAACAACCCTGCCCCTACTGGGACCATTCCTTCTCCCTGCTCTGGTCCTTCATGCGTCTGCCTTGCATCCCACCCAGCTGCTCAGGCTGGTTGGCCCTAAGAAACCAGTAAAGTTAATAACTTGTTTTCAGGGATGCAGCAAAGCTCCCCTGGACCTCAGCGGTGCAAGGCTGGGCCCACAGACAGAGAAGGAAACCCATCATCGCTTTGCCTGTGATGACCAAGTATTGGCTAGAGAGAGCACTTGGGTGGGTGAAGCAAGGAGACCTCTTTGCTGTCACAGAAAGAGGCTGGGGCTTACCTCGGTGTTTCTTCACCTTCTGCTGCAGTGAAGGCAGCGACAAATCCTACACAAAGTGCCCTTCCTTCTCCACCCCAGGCTCCCCAAGAGGACTACGCAAGCCACAAACCACGCAAACCTCATAAGAGTTTCAAAGAGCTACAAAGACGACTTAAAAGGCCAGCTGCCCATCACAGAGCGGGCGTTCGGCTCGGACAGAATAAAGGCATCTGGTAGCACGGCACACATTAAAGCAACTTTGCCATCGATCCGGCTGTAAAGAACTAACAAGTTCAGCACAGGTCTAGTCTATAAACACTCCTGGAATTAGAGGCACCGAGGAAGCAACAGGACGTGTTGTGGTTTTTATTACAGTAGTTAAATGCTCCCGAGTTGGTTGGATTTAACAATCCCCTTGTACCCAGTGGGTGGGATAAAAGGGGGGGGAAAAATATAACCAAGAGACATTGAATTCTATCTTTTCCTCAAACCAAAGCTAAGCCCTCCTCCTCCTTGAGCAGAGGTGGTCAGGTGCCTGCTGCTACTTGGACTTACCATGGCAATAAACAAGATTCCCCCCCCCCGGCTCCTCTGTCCCCTGCCTAAGCAGCCTCATCCAGCGAGTTGTGTCTTTGATAATCAACCGGCAGCAGGGAGCCGAGTTCCCTGTGGGAGCAGCTTGCACAGTTTATTTTTTGCACATGCAGCTCCTGCCTCTCCAGAGGTGGGGACGGAGCTGCCTCCTTGACATCACTGGAAAAACGTAAGCTGGAGACGGAGAGGCACGAGAAAACTCTGAGCCCGGAGCCTGGGGCTCTCTGCTGTATTCCCACCAGGCCCCCTTGACCACGCTCCAAGGAGGAAGCTGCCGTGTCCAGTCTTCCTAAATCGATTGGCTTTTTATTGACGGACGAAACTCCAATGATCTCAGCATAAACTGGAATAGCTATTTGGTTTTCCACCCCCCCCACGCCCTCCCCCAACACACACACATCCAGCTGCTGTCTGACTTCCCAACACCAGGGCTAGAGATTGGTTCATCGACGCCTTTAATATTGCTGGCCACTGAATCCTCTTTCTTGGGCGAACGGCTTCCCCTCTCCCCCAGCGCAGCCCAATCCCCTCCTCCAGAGCTGTCATTTTCTTTAGGAGTTTTGTCTATGGAGTCTTTAAAAAAAAAAAATAAAAAAAAAAAAAATGTCAAAGTGATGTTGTTTTCCTCTTACCCTCTTTGCAGGAGGCGGCAGCGGGGTCCTCAGCAGTTCACTTCCTAGGTTGCTCCTCCCTGCCAGGCCAGCTGTGGTCCAGAGCGTCCCAGGGCAGGGTGATGAATGAGCCGGACTTTTATATTCCTGGGAGCTGGGGAATGACTCCCTGAGCCGCTGGCATCTGATCTCACCGCTCTCCGCTGTGCCAGCCCCTCCTACTTTTCCCTTGCCTCCGTGTTAGCAGCTCGGTGTGTGTGTTAGTTACCAAGATACGGTTCTACAGGCTAAGCTAGCCTGGCTCTTCCCCAAAGCAGAGGGAGGCAAACTCCCAGTGTCTGCCTGTTAAAGGAGCCGCACGACTTCCTAGGAAATAAGGAGCTTAGCACTAGGGATGAAGCACCATCTTTTTTCGGCGGCACTGGTCCGCGAAATGCAGGTGTGGAGACGGCCTCTCGGTCCAATCTGCGCCATGCGTTGCCCCAGTGGCTTTCTTCTGGTCGGGTCGCTGTAGCTGTTGCCCCGCGTCCCAAATAAACGTGCTCTTCTGCCCTCTTTTCCGCCCCATGTGTTTTTTGTTTTTTGTTTAAATTAAAGCCTTCTCACCCCTCTTCTGCTGATAAAGCTCCCTGGCCCCATTGTACAGAAAAGGGAACCGAGGCACAGAAATGTAGCTGAAGCCACCCAAGTAGACTGGAGCCAGACCCCAGCTGTCTCATCCAGGCTTGTGGTTTAAAAAGGAGACTGCGTTTCTCGTTTTATTCAAGGGACTTCTCCAAAAGGCTCCTTCGCTTTTATTTATGTATATTATAAGCTGGAAACAAGAACTCATGACATGCTGATGAGCCCAGCAGCCTGACAGAGGAGATGGGCCACCAGCCCTTATCTCTCTTCTCCCCTGGGCCCTCGGTGAAGGCATCCAGGTCCTCAGCTCCACTGCGGACACCCTCTGCACCAAGTCCTTTATCTCCTCAGTGCCTCAGTTCCTGACCTGTGAAATGGGGAGAATAATACAGCTTTATCTTGCCGAGATGGGGTAAGGGTGCCTTGGTATCACAGTGACAAGGGCCGTGCAAGTCCTTGAGGGCCGGCGAAGCTGGGAACAAGTGTGCTTCTAAAAATAAAACCATATGGGAGGGGTTTTAGTTTCATTGAACCCTTGAAAATCAGTGCAAGCGGGTCTGCTGGGGTCGGGCAAGCTTAGGACTTTGGACAACATTAGCTTCACTTCTTACTAAGGAGGTGGGGGGTGGGAAATGTGTGTCCAGCATTAACCCCTCAAACGCTGCCATGTAGCTGCCAGGCTCCGGGCAGAGTTGCTCAGTTTCTGCTCTGCCGCACACAAAATAGCGAGCTCTTTTAATAGGAAACTTCCCTTAACGCTCGGCCCTGTGGCTTTTATCTCACTTGAGTAGGTTTCATGACTCAGCAGCACAGATGGATCCATCCCTCTCAGACCTCAGCACCAAATCTGTTCGTTGCTCCAGAGGCTGCTTCTTTCCCGGACCCTCTATCGGCCTTATAGGAGGCAGTGCTCTTCCTTCAGACCCTGCCTCTGTGGTGAGGAATTGCATCACATTCATTGCGGAGGTGGGAGAAGAGCAAAAATAGATTATTTAAAAAAAATAAAAACCCTTAAGAGGCCAAAAATATGAGGATTTAAGGGGGGCGGTGGGGTTAAAGACACTTCTGCAGTGCTCCAGCTTCACTTTGGTGTGACCGTTGTGTGGAGTTATCCCACCATTAAGGTGGAGTAAAGCTCTAGGGAATCGGGCCTCTGATGTCCAAGTCAGCTGCCGTCTCCTTGTTTCCAAAGGCCTGTCGTGGTGGGTGAATGTCTGTCTGGCAGAGCTGCCCGCTGTGTCTGTGTGCATGTGAGTGAACCTGCAATATGTGTTCGGTGTCTACCTCGTACACATGTTGCATTGGCTCAGCCGAATGCCTTGAGTGGAGGAGGTGGGAGCCTTGCCTTTTAAACATGTATGTAATGCCATAAACGTTCCTTGGGCTGGGATGGTCTCGGTGGTTACGTGTTATCTGTGTGCTGAATGTGCCAGTGCTATGCTAACAATTACTTCCAAGCATTGTGTCTGCACCAAGTGCTGTATGTACAACAGGACTCTGGCTTTGGTTGGGACATGTAGAAGCCACTTCAGTATAAATGATGATGACTGGTCTTGGCAGGATGGGTTACCAGGCATGGAGGATGAGCTAAGGCCAAGCCTCTCCAAAAAAAGATACGTGGATGCCCTGGCAAACACTGGCCATTTAGCGTCCCCTCAACATGATGCTCAGTCTCCTGGTTCTTGCCCCGTTGTACTGATTAAATGATAAATACCTAGATGACTGGACACTGCAGATAGTCACCAGGAGGAGAACTTTAGGTCATCTTTTAAATTATCTACACAATGGTGTCTGGCAGCATAAATATTAATGTGACTGGTGCTTTTAAACCTGCCGGGAGCCTCGAGCCTTTTAACGCGCATTAGACAAGTCCAATTTACAAGAGAGAAAGTTTGGAATCCTTTGAACTAGGTGCACGACAAATTAACCGAGCGCTAGAGTTAAAAGGAAATGTCAAAAGGCCCCCCTCTTTCCCCCTGCGCGTGGGAGTACAAGCACTGAGACGGCAAGTGATGGCCCTGAACGCAGGAGCTAAGTGACAGGAGGAGAGAGCTGATCGAGGTGACGTTCAGGCATCCCTGCTAACGTGGCTGTTTTCTCCTCTGCCCCTTTTTTTGTTTTAGGAGTGCAGCTCCAAGCGGAGCAAATGCAAGGACTGGCAGGTTGGAGGGACAGGCCTGGATCCTGAGAACACCTTTGCTTTTTCTCTTGGAGATCTCTGCTAGCTCACTCAGCACATCCCTGCACTCTTGCATCATGATTGCACCCCTTGTTTTTTCGTTGTGTTGCCCTGACTTCTCAAGAGCAGGTCCTTGTGTTTTGTCCCAGGCTGAACTGTCAATACCTCCCTGAGTTTAGCACTTTGCTTCAACTGGGCCAGCTGGAGGCATGGCCAGATGTGCTGGCTAGGGCCAGGTGAACCCACTGGTTCCCCCTGAAAGACCCATTTGAGAAATAATGTCTGAACAGTGAAGCAAGGGGGAGACCCAAGAGATCCCCCAATGCTTTGGGATAAAACGCTTGCGACCAGATCAGATTCTGTCCCCTGACACCGAGCTCTGGCGTCTGGAAGTCAAGGGGGTTGAAAGCTGTCGGACACATCGCAGGGTGGGCTCTTCTGGGGTGGAGCTCAGCATTCGTTTCCATCTTTCTGAGTCAACGAAGCTCTCCCGATGAGCCAAAGCGCCCCAGGGCGTTGTATCATGATTGCATGGCTTGGCTATTGCCAGAAAATGTTATGGTGCATTTCTGAAGGGTGAGTTTTGGTCCATGACCCAGCCGGCCTTTGGGGACATTAGCTTAATTACCCAGCGTGTTTTTCGTTCCACCGCTCTCTGATCTGCGGCTGACACGTGGGCCGTGCAGGCAGCCTAAGCCATGAGCTGGCTCCCGCTTTCCCCACCTGGCCCATGTTGCCACATGTGCAGCTGCTCTTCACCAGTTTCCATGGTTACGCAACAGTTTACTTTTCCCCCCTCTCTATTGGCTAGAAAGGCTGCAGAGCCCTGGTTTTCCGTGTGATGCAAAAGCCCAGGCCCAGGATGCAGCCGGTCGAGTGCATCATGTGATGATGGGCAGAGGCTGACTCTCAAAAGTCCCTGCCTTCGTGTGACGTGGCTACCTACCCAAGCACTGCCTCAGCCTTGTTTTCCTGCGGCAGGGGCCGATGCCGCGACGGGCAGCTGGTCAGAGCCAGCACCCAAGGGTCGGGATGCCTGGGTCCTTTCCCAGACTCCTCCACCAGCCTGCGGTGCCACGCCAGCGAATTGCTCTGTGCCGTAGCGCGCCCGGCTGCAGGATGGGAGAAGCGAAGGAGACGTGCAGGTGGCTGCAATTAAACAATCCCTTAGTTGCTCTGGACCACAGCGAGCCATGGGGGAGACTGCGCATGTGCTCTGTTTGGAACGGGCAAGATGCAGTCTCCCACGCGCCCCTGTGCATTGCCTGTGGTAAGGGCCAGCTTTCCAACAGCAACCACTGCACTTGCCCACAGTGCTGTTAAACCACGTTGCAACAGCCACTCATTGTGTGGATCAAGGCCGAGAGGCTCTGTCACGTCCAGAAGAGCAAGCAGAGCCCTGTATTTTGGGTTGCCGTCTGCCTCGCTTTTATCCTTTCTTCCTCTCTTCCTTCTCCAACTCTTACCAGCATCAAGTGACTCCCCAGGGAGGCAGTAAATGATCTCCCAGGGGTGAATCCAACAAAGGAGCCCGACACAGGCTTCGTTAAATGCACGGTGACAATGCAGAGCACCGCGAACCTTAAGCAGTTGTTAATAGGGACAGAAACCCGAGCCGCAGGCTGACCCACAGGGTTAGCAGTAGAAGAATACAAGAGAAGGGGCTGAATTCATCTCAAAGCTGGGTGGTTTGGGTCAGTGGAAGGAAAGGGCTAACAGGGCTCTGGGCAAACACGTGGCGCTCTCAGAGTTGCTGTAAGGGCTGTCTGGGCACATGCGGGGAGGGAGGGAGTCAGGGGCAGATGAGCTGTGGTGAGGAGTGCCTGCCTGTCCTGCTCTGGTATCGCACAGCCCTGGTGGAAAGGATCTGGGCTTGCCTGGGTGTGGACTGTAAATACGCAGGGACCGCTCCCATGTGCATGTCCGATTCATGAGTGTGGTGAGGAAATTGGGAGGCACAGACGCGATGTGGGGCTGTGTTGACGGAGTCATTGTCCCCAATTGTGGCTTTGCATGGCCCGAGCCTTAATCATGCTAGGGCTGAAGCACAAAGTCCTTGGTGAACTTAAGGACCTGGTTCTTCTCTCCCTTAGTCCCCTATGTGTGTGTACATACCAACATAACCACCCCGCCAGTTTTTTTCATGTAGGGCCTGACCTGAAATTAGTAGCAAAG